TAGGCCAGCCACGTGCCCGGGATATCCTGCACAAATTGGACAGGTGGGTGTCCCGAAGTGAGGCCTGCTCAACCCACTGGCCTGCGCCCAATGGCGAAGACAGACCTGAAGGCAAGCTAAGGGAACCGCGAGATGGAGCTAGCAGCCGCTTGGGAGTGGCAGTCTCAAAACCTGAGAGCCCGTCGGGTTGCAAACCAGCTCCTGGTGGTGGAGGTGGGCATCGTACCGAAGCAGGACCAGCAGCAGATGGTCTGGTGTGTCGAAGGCACACCAGACAATGTTCAGGTCGATCAGTCAGGAAAGCGTCTGGCCACCCCTGCCAGGTGTGATGTCTTGAGCAAACATCACGAGTACAATAAGCATGCAGCAAAGTAGGGCCTGTTGCCAGTGCAGCTGACATACCTCGAGGCACGGTACATCGATAATCATCACGGTGTGGGGAGGCACCGTAGGTCCATGTGAGCCCGACTGGCATTGTCGTGGATGTGCACACTGGGCGTTCAAGACCTGGATAGGCACATGGAAAAGAGCTTAGGTGCCTTTCAAAGCCCCAGTAGATTAACGAAGGGACCTGCAAGGATCCGGGCGTGCCGTCGGGCATCCGACATGTCGGAAGATACAAGCCTGATAGCCACAAATGTTGCAGGCAGTGGCTGGTGGAGGGAGCAACAAAGGTTTGTGAGCAGGGAACCCACCTAGGTGGCTGCCCGAACCTAGGTGCAGAGGTCTGCAACTCCGGGCGCTCAGTAAATCGATCCCCGCCTGTGTCATCTTGGTCTGGCGGAGCCGCCGGTAGGCTAGACCTTAGAAGAGCGAAGACAAGGAGCATGGCAGGTCGATGTGAAGGGGGCATGTGTTGCCTCTTGCAAGACTGGCTAAGCCGATGCAGACGTGGACATGATGAACAGTAGGCTGGATCCTTGTATGCAGCACTGGATGAGGCAGCTGAGTCCGTGTGAAGTCCAGCGGCTCTATTGGCCTGGAAGATTTCCTCCATCTTCCTGGCCATCCTTCTGCGGACACGTTCTTGGAGCTTGGCGGCCTTGATCGTCCCAGTGCCACGGCCTTTGGCTGCAGTTGAGGAGGTCGAAAGTGGTTGGTCAGCCGGATTGTCCGTGACATCAAACCAAATCGATCGTCTCGGCTTGGGCCTTGTCTGCATCTTCCGTGGTTTCGGAGAGGAAGCGTCAGATCGAGCCCGTTTGGGTCCTCGTTGAGGTAAGTCTGACGGGACGGCCGAGGTAGCAGCCGAAACCGTGGTCGAAGCAGCGGGAGTCTCCGAGCTATTTGCCGTGGCCGACTTAAGCACCAGATTGCCCGACTGTATGGTGAGCTTCGCTTGTGCTGGCGTCCGGTCCTTCTCCAGTTCAGAAGGGATGTGCGACAAGCGACCGCGTGCTTTAGGCGTCGGCTTGAGTCGGCCTTTGTCGTCGATCGCCGGGTCAGACCTCAAACTGGAGCTGGGCAAAGGCCTGGAAGAGGCAGACAGTGCCGTGAAATCCACAGTCTGTAACAGAGCACTGCTTCTTCGCTTGTGCTCAGTGAGGCATGGGTTGGCCTCGCGTGCTGGAGTCCAGTTGGCCTGCACAGCAGTTCCGTCAGGCAACATGTTCTCGGAGCGCACTGAAAGCCAGAGGGCCACCAGCTCCACTGATTCAGCACTTTGTATAACCTGATCAGTGCGCTTGCCATGCTTATTGCTCCCCGAGGGAGCATACACCACCTCCCACTTGGCAGCCCAAAAGAGACCATCTCCACATAGTGGTATCCATCTCATGTAGTTCTCCACCTTGTGTTGCAGGCTGTCTCGGTGCAAATACACCCCTGGACAGCCTGCCAGGAACCTGTCACCCTTCGACTCATCGGTGCTCGGGAGAAGCTGGCCATGGTAGATAATGGAGTATAGTGCCTCCATCTTGCATCCGTGCCAGCCCCGTAGCCAACCATCCTGACACAGCAGCTCGCAGTGCGAAGGTTCCAGCGGTGTCCACGGGATACGCCACCAACCATCAGGTTGCGGGACTGGGTCACCAAGTAAGGAGGCAAGGGATGTGCCATCTGGGCCTTGCCGTGTCCTGAAGAAGCTCTGCAGAAATCTTTCCACGTCCAGAGTACAGGCAGGAGCACTCGGCGGTTGTGGTAGCTGTGACCTGGCTTTGGCTCCCCAGATCAGTACCCGATCTGGAGAGGCAGGTAAAGCATGATCTGCCAGGTTCCACTCAGAAGGACCACCAGAGGATTGAGGATCAAAGGCCGGAGCAGGCTTCCTCTCTGTAGTTGGCGCCCCTGTGGCTGCAGTAGAAGCTGACGACTGGGCCTCAGAGCTCGTAGTTCTCTGCCGAGCATCAGTGGTGGGATGCGTTCTCACCCTCTTGGGAGGAGGTGGACTAGGAGTGCGAGGCTGTGGTATCGCAGTCCGGCCTCGCCTGGGCTTGGTGGGCCCAATCTCCTCTTCCCTCGGAAGGACCAGGGCAGGCCGTGGTTTGCGCCAAGTCACCTGCTTTGTCCCCGGGTGGTAGTAGAAGGACCGATCGCTAGCTGGGTCAACGTGTTTTTCCCAGGGTGCCTCAAGCGAAGCGTCTTCCACCGGGGGATGGATATAGTGGCCAGCTGGGCTCCGTTTGGGTGCCGCCGGAGGCACCATGGTCTCCAGGGCCTGGTAGCCAAGAAGGTAGCGTGCGCTGTAGATGGTTAATGGTGGGGGAGCACATCTCCACCTCAAACTCGGCTCCATTCCATCACACATGGAAGCTTGTGTGGCTTCCAACCCCAGTCGGGGAGCGAGGTGCTCCTTGTCGATCGTAAAAATACGACGTTGTTCATCTCGAGGGCCTTGTATCATCCGCACATTCCGCGTGGTGTTGCGGTCACACTCCAAGGTAGGGAGCACAATCGCTCGGCGGCCGACAAGGTGACGTCTGTGACCGTCGATCACCTCTACTTCGGTCCCCACTGTAAGCGGGACGAGTGCTGCCTGCCAGTGTGGCCAGCTATGCTCGGAGGCTGGCTCCATGATCCCTCGAAGGGCACAGGTAGGGCACGCTAACACAGGGTAGTCCTTTGACTTAAGAAGTTGTGGAGAAGGTACCTGCGAGTATTCTGCAAGAGGTCTCCCAGCCCGAAGGGATGCAAGGCGGGCAGAAGTGGTGGCAGGCTGCTGGGGTACCACATACTCTTCCAGAGTCTGCAATGAGGCTTGGTTTGTGGAAAGCTGCAGGCACACGCGGTATCCACATGGTGAGGCTGCAAGATGCATACAAGAGCACGGCAGAGTTTCATGTTGGCTGATCACGGGTTGCAGCAGCAAGACTGAGATCCAAGCCCCGTGGTGGGCAAGAAGGACACCGAAGTGGGCGTCTCGAGGGACCTGATACCTGTGGCGAGCATCGTTAGGCAGGGGTGCGCCAAGTGCAGATGGGGGGCGCCGCTGACCTGGAGCCTTCGCGAAGTCATCGAGGTCTGCCATGAGGACGGCCTGGGCATTACAGTCAGCATGGAGGATAGTCCAAGATAGCAGTGACAGTTGGCTCCAAAGAGGTGTCAGTACTAGCACGCTGACAAAGACAGCACGTCTTTTGTGAGTCCAACTCAAGAGGCTGCTGGGCACAAAACGGCAAGTCTGCATACAGGAAGAGACGGCAGAGAACTGACAGCTGTCATTTGCACCTGTGGTGCTATCTCTGCAGAAAGCTCGTGCCTGGCCACCATAAGACCTGGTGTCTTGTGGCTCAACTCGGTGGCCTAACCGTGAGCGTGAAAGTCCAGCCCGCCACTTTGGTCGTGATGGTGGCAGGCTGCTGCTGCACGTGTCCAGCTGGTGTGCCCGAAACTCCCTCCGCTGCATTGACACTCGTTGCTGGGGGTGCAGTCGGAGGAGGCAGCAAGGTCGTAGTAGGCGATGGGAGCGTGGGAACAGCCCCCATTGCAAGAGTGATAGGCCCTGTGCTTGGTGGAGCACCTGCTGGTAAGCCCCCTGGAGCCATGGCAGCAAAGGCCTGCACCGGTGTTGTCGGAAGAGACGTGCAGGATGCCGGAGTCGGCGGGGGTGGCCCCGCGGGCTTGCTTGTGGCACATCCAACGCTGCCTCTTGGCCTGTTGACCGGCACTGGGGGGGGTGGCCCTGCTGGAGCACTTGTGGTAGCAACTGGTGGAGCGGTGGCCTCCTCGCCTGAGCTCGGTGGGCTCGGTGGGCTATCAGATGAAGAGGACTCCGGAGCCACTGTGGCTTTGGCTTTTGGCCTTCCAGATCGCGACCTCGACGGGTTGCCTCGCCGCGCTTCCTTGGGTGACATCCTGGGCTGGTCGGGCTATGCGACAGCAAGGCTTGAGCACAGAAGGCGGCGCTCGGAAAAAGCTGCTCTGGAGTGCACCTAGCAACTGGCCACAAGGGTAAAAGGGACTGCGGATGCTGAGTGCTGGGCCAGGCACACGAGCTGGATGCTGTCCAATTGGGACACTGTGGCACAAAGTTTGAGCCCTGTTGCCATGGTGGGGCAGATGGAATCAAACAGGCAAGAAGCACAGCCATCATGCAGCCTACAGCCGTGTTGAGGTTGAGGCACTCAGACCTTCTAGTGCACCCGTTACTGTTAAGGGTGGCAGGGTCCCGCTGTTTCGACAACATCTCTCTTTCTCAACCTGGCGGAGCCAAGGGGCTTAGTAGCAGTAGTAGTAGTAGTAGTAGTAGGAGTAGCAGTAGCAGTAGCAGTAGCAGTAGCAGTAGCAGTAGCAGTAGTAGCAGTAGTAGTAGTAGTAGTAGTAGTAGTAGTAGCAGGAGGAGTAGTAGTAGTAGTAGTTGTTGTAGGAGTATAGGTCGTCGTCGTCGTCGTCACAGTGGTAGTGGCAGTGGTAGTGGTACGATCGGCAGCAACGCAGAACTTGTAGATCTCTCAGCGAATCACTTGTAATGGAAAGGTTTCGTTGAATTACACCTGCATAACACAACTTTCTAATCTTGACGGCAGTTCTCACTTCGAAGGCCAAATGGAGGCTAGATGGGCCTCCTGCATGACATCCTTGTCCAAGGCCGATCCTGCTGCATCATATGCTGCCAGGGTGTTCTGCTCGATTGCACGAAGCACCACCTCCTCCAGGCACACTTGCTGCATCCTAAGTCATGCTTCAGGCTCCGCAAGGTCATCAATGCTTTCACGATGACAGCTTCGCCCGCCGGCGCAGCCCGCAGTCCTTGTCAGACTTGATGGTCTCGTCTGCACGCCCCAACGCTTCCGTGCTGAGCTTGAGCGCTTCTAGCATGAAGTCCTTGTCAGCCTTACAGTGAGACAGCTGCCATATGCCATCTTCCGTTCCCTCTCCGTTCTTTCGTGAGGCCAAAGGGCTTTGATGACCTCCGCCGAAAGCTCGAGCGCTGCACTGTTGATGCTCATTGCCTAAGCTGCAACGACTTCGCTTGCGCCCCTTCTGCAAAGATGCATCAAAGACAAAGCAGAATCTCAGAATGAAGAATATCGTTCAAGCAGGCTGTCAAAGAGAGTGGCCTTCAAGATGAAAGCCTTGTCTGCCTTCAGCTCGTCTGCTGCAAATTCCATCGAATACACATTCTGACGCACAGCTTCGAGGACCACGTCGCCATCTGCACGCAGGCTTGCATCTGCATATTGCAGAGCATGGCCTGCTACACGCCTCGGTGTCGTGAAGCTTCCAGGATCCTTTTGAGTAAGTGCACATTGACACACATAAGCCCGAATGCCCGAACGAATCTGCGAAAAGAAAATGTATGGGTATGTAGCAAGAGGTAGTGATGTGAAATGAAACCTTATACTACAGGGAACATGATGCGATCTCTTCAGATATGACCAGACGATGCAGCACAACCTAATTTAATTCCAAGCATACAGACACAGTATTTCCCAGTCTCCTCCCTCCTTCACCATCCAACCGGGTATTTCGCTTAGTGCTTGCGAGGGCGCACCGCACACAGCACGAAGCGCTTGCTTGACTGTAGGTCTTTGTGTGCAAATTCGAAGGCTGCAAAGTTTTGCGCAAGGGCGAAAAGCACCAGGCGCTTGTCTGCCTTCAGCTCTTCGGAAGCCAACCCGAGGACCCGGGAGTTGTGTCTGAGAGCCTCCTGGACGACCCGGCGATCACGTCGGAGCTTCTCGAAATCAGCTGGATGATGCTCGCGAACATGCCTGAGATTGGCGCAAGCACTCTCTAGAGGATCTGTTCTGCAGTTCTGCTTCACGATCTGATTGCGAGATAATTAACCGACATGGCGCTGCAAGGAGAAGCGGTCGTGCTTCAAGGCACGCAGCACAAGCCGCCGATCTCTCTGGAGCTCGCCGGATGCATGATGGAGCCAGAACAAATTCTCCTTGACCTCGGCAGAGAGTCAGGGGAACATACAATGCGACCTGATGAAATGTGAAAACAGACTCCAAGGGTGCACGATTCTGCGGCAGAGTCGCTGCCGTATCCACAAATACTCTGCTCGATGTCAGCCTGTAAGTGTGGCATACTGGCCAAAAACTGGGGAACTCTTGCTGAGCCTGCTGAACACTCGGTCAGAGAAACACCTCAAACACGCTTGAAGAAATCACTTCCCGTATGCATCCCGATACCCAGAAAATTTAGGACTGATTAAGGAGGATGCTGAACTATACTGGTCCAGGCCTTAACAAAACTGCCAGTGCCAAGGGCGTTTTCCACAAAGGCGTTAGTCTTCTGCAGTAAATATTCTTCAAGTCCTGGACCAACGACATAAACTTATGATGCAAGAACTGCTTAGGATCACGCAGCACAGACACGTTGATGGCAATGGCGTGCAAATGAAGCACAACAAGTATCAACTAGCAATACTGGCAATACTATGTGAAGGAAAGCAACATGAAAAGGGAGGGAGCGGAAGCATTGAGCAGAGCTAAAAGAGAAGAGGCAAAACCACAAATCAGACAACAAGACGGACACGGGAAAGCTTGCAGAAGAAAGCGGAAAGCAAGAAGGAGTAAAGCAAGCCAAAACAGAGAAATATATCCCAAAAGTCAAAAAACAGACATCGAAGAGCAAAAGGAAAAGAACTGACCTGCGGCGCAGATACCATTTTCTTGGCAAGGAGCTCATCCCGGCGAGGCAGCTGGAAGAGGGAATCCTTCAGCTCGGCCGCGAGAAGTTCCCGAAGTGCAGGAAAGCCCGCCGCCAGCTCTCGCATGCAAAACCTGCAAACCCAAAAAAAACAGTCCGAGAATCACCTCATCACGATGCTCCCCTTTCAATCTCGCTTCGAGTAGGACCCCTGGTCGCCGTAGGACTAGACGGGCAAAGTGTACGTACGGCCCGTGCGGTAAGCGAAAGGCGACAGACACCGACAGTGTGCACAAGGCACGAGGTCCGATACTGAATTGAGCTAAGGAGCTCCAATCTGAGGATCTCCAAAGCAAGGCCTTCATCCGACCGTAGCTTGTCCAGGCATATGTGGGCTAGTATGAGGCACTGCTGGATTAGCTCGAAGATCTGCCAACAATCCAGCGCATGTGCGTGGCATCGCCACTGCCTCACTCGCGCAACGTGATGCTGCAGAGCTGGCAGGAGGATCTCCGTGTCTTGCACCATTGGATCTGCGAAAAATATCGCGAAGCCATCCCGTCGCACAGCGGCAGACACCACATCGATATCGGCTTGCAGCGCTGGAGCAGCATGTCGCAAAGCACAACCGTTCTGCTCCAATGCCGCGAAGACTATGTCACGATCGTTGCACCAAGCTGACAGAAGATGCAAGCCAAAGGCTTGCCGTCGGACTCCTTCCAGAATGAGGGCCTTGTCTGCATGAGCATCGGCCAACTTCCGCTGAAGAAGCATATGCTCCCCGAGGGCAGCGTGCCAGAGATCTGGGAACCACCTCGGAAAGATGCTCCCACCATATCCCACATCACCCAGACATGCCTGTCCCCTTAACGAGGCTGAGGCACTCAAGCGAGCACAACGCACGGTCCAATGAAAAGACACCCGCCAGCAGGACCTGCTAGGGTGCTTGGCTTGGCACAACGAAGAGGGCATTACGATTGGTCCGCTCAACTCTGCAGCAGGCCTTGTACATCTCTGGGCTCGGCGACGGACGCGCGAGGGACTTCAGAAGGCCATACCGTCCTGGTTGAAATGTGCTCATCCAGCTCATGTTTTGACCCTCACTCAGCGAAAGTCTGAAATCCAAAAGAACCGAAATACATTCCACAAGCTTAAGGCACATGCTCAGTTTGCTGTCAAGGCTCTCCGCCTCATCTTCACGACTACGTCGCGATCTGACTTGGCCTTTGTCGGGGCAGCCGCTTTTGCACGTCTAGGTTTGGCAATACGGGACTCGGTAGGCCGGCTCTGAAGCCATCCAGACGAGGCACAATGGCTTCAGCACCCTCCAGTATCTGCACTTTGTGCAACAGCTCCTGCACGTGTTGTAGGATCTGTGAAGCCGATGCGTGCGGTTTGCATCCGGAGCTCTGAAGAGGCATTTGTTAAACTCACAACGCAAGCACAAGCAGATTGCCATGAACTTTATCAGATGTTCTTACGATTGAACCGGTAGTTCACGATCGCGAGACAAAAGGTATAAGGAAGCACAAGCCGCACGCGAGCATGAAGGAATGACAATACCGTTCGGAACACATGAACTGCAAATTGATGATGAGAAAACAACATGGCTGCAACGTCCCACCACTCATTCGAACATCTCGGCAAGCTCTCGCACCCTCTCGAAATCACCGCACATGTCCGAAGCCTTTTCACAGCCGAGGTCGTTGTGAATATGAGAGAAGGCTGGGTACCAGATACTGCACAATTAGAACATTCTAGCAGCTAGCACGCAATCCAGAGCCGCCACTTGTCCAATAGCAGCCCAGTAGCACTAGCAGGACACAGGCCCACCGACTGAACCACAAAGATTCATGCACCACACACTACGCACACCTTTGACATGACCGCAGCTTTCGAATCGCAAGACGGGAAAGTCGTCCTCGATGTCGCGCTCCGGCTCAGTGGCAAAGTCATCGGACAAACCAAATCGAAGCAAGACGTCCCCGAGGAAACGGCTGCTGTTCCGGAGCTGCTCGCCAATGAACTGGAAAGCAGATGCGTCCTGGCTCAAGGCTTCCTTCACCACCTCTTCGTCGTTCCGTTCGCTGCCCACGTGCTCCAGCGACATACCAGCTTGACGAACAGCCCGGCACACGAACTGCCTTTGTAAGCGTAGAGCCGACGGAGCTTTCATGAGGGCTCCAGGATCCGTCGCGAGCGCGGCCAAGACCAGCTCCTCATCACCTCTCAGCTCCTTCGTCGTCTACCAAGCCCCGCAAACCAATTTAACGACTAGCCCCGAGGGTCCTCGGAGATGTAGGCGAAAACCCGGCCATTCTCCTTGATAGCTGGAAACACAAATCTTCGATCTGCCTCGGCCGCAAGCATCTCTGGGCAGTGAAGAGGTCTCCACTCTTTGACTCAATGTATGCAAACATACCACATGCATGTGTGTGTGCGTATGTTCATATGTCAAGCTATGCTAGTAGCATTAGCAGTACTAGTAGCAACAGTAGTAGGAGTAGTCGTAGTAGGAGTAGTAGTAGTAGTAGTAGTGGTATTCATTCACCACGCAGCGAAGTGTCCGGGTTCGCCTAGCGAGCTGACGATAACCCGGTATTCGGGGTATCGGAACCTCTGTTGGGTTCTGGAGGGCAGTGCCAGCTCCATCCACTAAGACTACACTTGCTCAGCGTCAGGCACCAGGAGGAAGTACCTGACGTAGCCACACTATATATATGTTGCCATCGTCTTCTGTGCCAACTGACTTTGCTGTGCAGGAGTCATCAGTGATCCACCATTTTTCTGCACCAAACAGCGGCTGTCCTCGTAGGATAGTTCTGTAATGCCCCATATCAGGAGTGGCCCCGTAGTGAAGCTGTACAGCGACGACCTGGTAGTGAACATAGCGAACTTGCATAGTGTGCAGCCCTGCAAAGAGTGGCATACGAACTGTAGTCGAGGCCACAGCCAGTGGTCTGGTGTCCCTGCGCATGACTCCCTCGGCATTCGTGAAGCGCTGAAGTTGTATGCAGAGCATGGGAGACGGGGTCAGCAGTGCATAACGGGCGGTGACCTGAGCACTCCACCCATCAATGGCTGCCTGAAGCTCCAAGCTTGGACCTGCCGGTAGCACAATCGTAATTGGAGCTTGGGTAGGCCCCGTATCAAGAGTGACAATACCTCCAGGTGCAAAGTTTCTGGCCTCCCAGCCACCATTGAACCCACTATGCGAAAACCTGGGTAAGAGGTATTGTATCAACTCAGCTGCATCATGCTGACGGTGTACAGAAGGCCAAGCTTGCAGCAGCATAAGCCACGGTACCGAATGGAGCACCTGAATGGGACAATTGGGCGAATCAGTGATTGGTGGACACAACATGGTAAGAGCCTGCGGTGGAGGCGAAATGTAGGCATCGTGTAGCCTAGCCTGAAGGATTGTCCACAGAAGGGCATAGATGGTAGAGTGTAGGTAGCACAAATTCGATGGATTGTGGAAGATCAATCGAAGGACGGCCTTGAGACTAGGGCGCACACTCAGTATGGCATCTGATGTTGCCACACTTCCTGGACCAGGGTGTCGTAGTTCGGTCGATCGCGACGGAGCCTGCATCCCAGTGTGTGCCACGATGCTTGACCGATCCACTGGTTCAGCGTACTCCACATGGCTCCTCCCTCTGGGCGAAGTGACAAGCAGATCTGGAATTGGATCCAGTCGGAGGTCACCTCCGTGGTGAGCTTCCGCATGGACTTGAACCTCACCAGGGTCTCCTCCGTAACAGCCTTCCTCATCTGAACCAGTTGGGCCAACAGATCCTCCGCCGGTATTGGCCTCACTGAGTTGTCGACTTCCAGACATTGTTTGGAAGGATTCCATGTGAGATGTTTCCAATGTTTCTGATCGTCGATCCAGTTCAGGTTCTTGGCTTTGGCGAGAGCATCCTCGTCCGCGATCATGTTGGTCAACCTCTGATGCAGGGTGATGAGCAGTTGCTTGAATAGCATGAGTTTGAGGGAGTAAGTGATCTTCTCGGGTTCTTCCTCTTTCATCTTCCTCCACTTCTCCGCTGCTTCGCATAGAACTGGCACCATCCCTTCTGGTCCTGATCGTACAAAGAGGTAGAGGACCAGATCCTGACGGATGGCTGAGATGATTTGCTCCTGACGAAGGACCAGCTGAGATAGTCGATTCATCCTGTACTCCATCCATTCTGGATCCTGACTTCCCAGTGGCTGCAGGTCCTGTGTCTGTGTCCATGGATTGGGTGGATGGCTTCCGAAACCATTTGTGTAACCCATGGTCGGGTGTGCACTGGGTGGACTTGGTAGGCCCTGCTTTCCCTTGCCTTTGCCCTTGGTACCCTTGCCCTTGCCCTTGTTCCGGTCCTGCGGTGCCAGACGCTGCCTCTTGGATTGCTCGGCTTGTTGCAGCATATCTCTTCTCGGTTCCTGTTCCCGTTTGACCGGACCAGCCTGGGCCCAAAATTGCCTCTCCTGTTCGTCCAGCTCCATGGGATCCGCGGTGAGCGTCATGATGCTCTGCTAGAAATGCACAGATATGCAGGACATGACACTGTTTCCAATGTCGATCTTTGTTGATGTTTCGCTGATGACAGTATCGACATGGAACTACAGTATGTCGGCGGAAACCAGTAAGGAGCTTGAGAGTCGCAGGTTGGCAGTCTTTCCACTCTGGATGTTGCATGGTGAGATGATACTTGATGCTAGTAGGAATGGCTAGCCACTGGTAACACAGCGGGCAGTGGTGCTGGAGATACGATTGGATCTCCGGCTTCTCAAGGAGGTCAGTCCACCTGCGTGCACGTAGCGCTGCGAGAACATGAGATTGCTGATGAAGGGGAACAGCCTCATGGCTCGGTGTAGTGGAGCTGTCCTGCAGTGGAGCGTCTGTGACAGGGGGTTCAGGTATATCGACAGGAATAGTAGTAGGCGTAGCAGCCTGAGCCTCTTGTAGGATGTGGGTCTCCTGAGAGGGGGCCTGAGGTGGCAGGGTGACCGATGCAAGGACTGGTAAAGGATCGGATTCATTTGATCTCGGAGCCAAGGGTTGGGCATCAGCGGGAGGTTGTGTGGCAAGTCTACGGAGTACCTGGCACCGATTGCGTTTGATGTGTTTGACAAGTCCGTCCCATTGTCGGAAGGGATGGGCACAATGTCTGCACGTTGGAAGTCCTTCTGTTCCATGTGCATACCTATCAAAAGGCACTGGGACAGCAGCAGGTGTCTTGAGTCCATGCCACTTAGCCTCGTGAGAGCGTAGTAGCCGAAAGGAGGTGAAGACCCGATGACATTCCTGGCACTGGTGTACTGCAGGGTCAGTGATGCCTTCTTTGTCACCGAGAGGTACCTGTCATTGGCGTTGCACCTGTAGGTGGAGCGTAGCAGCTGTGTCTCGAGCTGTTTCCACCTGGGCTTGGGTCACGAAGCTCGTTTGGGTACTCAGGCCAGTCAGGCTGCGATGCAAGGCGGCGGCTTCCCTCTGGAGATGCTCCAAGATGGTGAACAGAGAGCATCTATGCAGGAGGTCGTGTGTGGATTCTTTCTGAAGATGTGCAAAAGATCGGGTGATGGCTCGGACCTGCTTGGTCATCATGTGCTGCATACGCTGGATATCCTTGGCACCTGGGTTGGATGCCGCGATGCCGTAGAGCAGCGTGGGAAGCACTGTGGATTTCCATAGACTAAGACGATGTGTCTGAGCAAGGTGCCTGGTAGAGCACAGGACACCACGAAGTCTTTGCCATGCCTGGTTCGCAGCCTGTAGCCGATAAGTGACTGCTTGTTTGGCCTGGGAATGATATGAGATGCGAATGCCTAAGTACGTGTGATGATCACGCAACGGAATTTCATACACCTTTCCCAGGGGGCTACGAAAGCGTAGTAGGTCTCCCTCGGGTTTGTGTATGAGATGTCGTCGCAGCCAGCCTTTGATGAAACTTCCCTTGTGTCTCAGCAACAGTGCTGATTTGGCCGAGTTGATGACCATACCATGGGCAGCAAGAGCATCGAGGATCTTACTAAAGCGATACACCATGTCGTCCAGCTCACGAGTGTTCTGCACGGTATCTTTAAGATGTATATCATCTGCATAAATCGTAGAGCTTTGCTCTAGCCAAGGGGCTGTGAGGAGCGAGTCCCCCTCTGCAAGGAGCTCACGATATATCTGTGCCAGGGCAAGTGTCCAGAGCAACGGAGCTAGTTTACACCCTTGTCTAAGTCCTCTTTGGGCCTCCACTTTGGCAGTGTGCCCAAGGTGGGTAAGGACATAGGAAATCTCGGAGTGCCAGGACATGATTTGGTGTCTTAACTCAGCCGGGACTGCAGATGCAAGTAATGCCTTGTCCAGCAAGCGCCAGTCCATGAGGTCGAAAGCGCTGGACAAGTCCAGTGAGAGTTGTGCACCTGCAAAATGTGGGCAGGGTTTCGGTTGTTGTGCGTGACGATCCACAACCGTGGGTGTTGAGATCGAGCAGCGATCCTGTACATACTTGCAGTGAGCAGCAACACGATGTATGGCTTGGGCAGCATTGCGACCCGGTAGATATGCAAATTGTGCCTGGTCCGCAAGGAACCTCTCTGCATAGGGGCGCAGTTTCGCCTGAAGTATGGAAGCATATGCGCGGCCGCTGGATTCAGTTAACCCTATTGGTCTGAGATTCTTGGGTGAGAGTGGTCGCGGAATCTTAGGAACGAGAGTCAACCATGCATTCCGCCAAAGCTCTGGTATATGAGGCCATTGCCGGCACCATTGGCACAAGAGAGGCGCGACAATGTCCGAGGTCAGCCTCCATAAAGAGTTTGTGGCTAGATTCGGAGGTGTAGCTTTGTGGGGCGACAATTGCGAAAGTGCCAGGGTCATTTCGGCCTCCGTGACCTCGATGTGAATGGGTGTCCGCTGGGGGCCCTGGATGCTGGTATCCTCGTCTGCAGCATATAATTTACGATAGTGCGTTTCCAGCTGTTGTAGCTGGATCTTAGGGTCCTGCAGATGACCACCAGAATCTCGCAGTTGAACCTTCGGCTTGGAGGATTTAGGAGCTAGGGTGCGGATGCCAGCATAAAGTTTGCGGGAGTCACCCGAACAGGCGGCAGCCTGTAATTCCTGGAGCCTGCCATGGAACCAGTGCTTCTTAGCTTCTTTCCCGGCTTGACGAAAGGCCTTGTGTGCCGTCTTGAAGTGATGATAGCACCTGGATACATAAAGCGGATTGTGCCGATCTTGAGATTTGGCAGTCTTCCAGGCTCGGTAGGCCTGCCACATGGATCGGATGCCATCTTGCATTGGTGGTGTCTGCCATAGTGCTAGCCGATGCTGACCTGTGGGCGGCGGGAAAAATTGGGATGCACAGTGA